GTTAAGAACAAAACACTCATTTTCCCTCAACTTCAGGACAAAACTCGAGAATGGCATGGCCCCTGCTCCAAGCTCAGAAAATTTCTCATGTAGAATGTTTTGTACCATTCCTTGTGGTAGTCAGATTATACAATGGGAAAGAAAGAATGAAACAGTCATAAAACAATTCTATGTTGTTGTTTTTGTCCTAGTTTGTCAGGGCAATGGTTGCAGTTGTGATAACATTTGCCATTTGCTGGTTCCCTTATCATTTCTACTTCATCCTGGGAAGCATCTGGGAGGAAGTCAACAGGCAGAAGTACATCCAACAAGTTTATCTCACTGTGTTCTTGCTGGCCATGGGTTCTGCAGTGTACAGTCCAATTATTTATTGCTCTCTTAATCATAGGTGAGTATTCTGTAGCTTAAGGGACTTCAGCTTCAGTGGGTGAAAAGATCTATCACCCAAGGACAATACAGTATAAAATGACATACAGATAAATGTTCACTTCAAATTACTGAAATGTAATTTGGTGCCATCACTCGCACCATATAAATTTTTTTCCTTAACATTATTTTTTAATATAAAAACATCAGCTTTACATTTTAGAAAGTGGTAAATGCTCAAGGGTAAGTTGAGATACAGGTTAGCTCACAAATACTAAGCCACAGTTTGATAAACGAAAGATGGTGAGTTAATTCCTATATAAAAATAACTCATGAATCCATGGTGTAATAGCCAGAGTGGCTGGATTCACAGGGTGAATTCACAGAATTTCCCAGCTGCAGCTAATGAAGGGAATCAGGACCTTTTTCTCCCTCGTAACCCATGTTGCTCCCTTATCCGTTCCTCTCTGCATGCCCTAGGATGAAGAGGGGATGGGCCTGGGTCTTCCTCTGAATGCCCAGCCGGACTGTGCCCTTCCCCAGTTTCCTCCACAGCGACCTCCCCCTCGGAATCAGATTCCAACGGGGGCATGACAGTCAGACAGATAAGTCAGTAGAGAGATAGTAAATCATAAAACGGAGGTGGAAGAGGTGTAGAACACATTTAAAAATAGAAAGGTGTGGTAGAAATTAGGGGGGGAATGATGGCTTCGCTGTCTTGTCTTTGGGTTAGATAACAGGTATTTTATTCATATTTGTGCTCCTGGCAGGTTCCGATCTGGATTCAGAATTGCTTTTCAATGTTGCCCCTGCATCAAAGCTACAGAAAGAGACCGGCTTAACCTCAGCTATCCTGACCCTTACAGAAAATCCAAAGAGAACAAGCATCCAACTTCTCTATGAGTTGCTTAGCCTTGTACCCAACTGATCACGTTGTCAGTTACTCATATGTATTGGGTGGTGTGCTTTCTAATCCAAAAGGCTTGAATAACAACCTCATTGGCCTGGTTTTTCTTGTAGCATCAAAAATACTGCAATAGATCATGGCAGGTTTGTGCCGGTAGTTTTCAATTTAAAACCATTTGTTTAGTGACCAAAGTTATAACAGCATGGAAAAAGGTGATTTATGGTTGTTCTTCACACTGGTGACCATTGCAGCATCCACATGGTCACGTGATTAAAATTTGGATGCATGGCAACTGGCATGCATAATGTGATGACCCGGGATGTGACACAAAAATAACCAAATCACAAAAGTAGAATAAATTCCTTTTAATGCCTCCAACTTGGCCCCAATGTCCAATTATCCTTGGCTGGATAACAAACTCTTCAAAAAACAATCTATGAAGGGCAGAAATGCAGTCCGAACCCAAAGTAAAGATAATTAGAAATTTTAAAAAACCAACACAAACCACGCTGAAGTAATTAACACGGCAGGCCAGGCCAGGATGATAAATTGCAGACTTTCAAAGGATAACGCAGCACCCACAGTTGGGAGGACGCCAAAACCCAAATAAGGCTCGACCAAGATAATGCACGCTTTGCTTCCAGCAAGGAGCCATGTGCAAACGCCCACTTATATCCTGTTCTCCCAGCTGCAACCAATGAAAGGGATCAGGGCCTTTTTCTCTCTTGCAAGCCACTTTGCTCCCTTCTCCATTCCTCCCTGCATGCTCTAGGAAGAAGAAGGGGTGGGCCTGGGTCTTCCTCTGAATGCCCAGCCGGACTGTGCCGTTCTCCTGTTTCCTCCTCAGCCACCGGAGCTACACTCCCACTCCCTGTCAGCTGCTCAATCTCCCCCTCAGAATCAGACTCCAACAAGGGCATGACATATATTTATGATGGTTGCAGGATCCTGGGGTCCTGGGATCACCTTTTGCAAACTTCTGACAAGCAAGGTCAATGGGGAAGCCAGATTCACTTAACAACTGTGGCAAGAAAGGTTGCAAAATGGGGTAAAACTCACTGTTGCTTAGCAATGGAAATTTGAGGCTCAGTTGCAGTCGTAAATTGAGGACTACCTATAATTATTCTTTTGTTGTGGCGCTGCAGTTTGCCTATTTGTGGTCCTTTTGAAATCCCTTTTTTACATAAAAGATATTGATTGTTCTATTCCCCACAAAATAAGCCGTTAATACATTTTCCCCAATGTGTCTTGATAATCTGTTTTGCCAATTTCTTGCTATAAACTCATTAATATTCCACTGATATTATCAGTACCTTCAACAACCAAATTAATCAGCAACTGAAGTTATTTATTGCAGTTTTCATTATTCCAATATTTGTATACAACAAAGATAATTTAAATACATTTAACTGGTTCCAACTTCGCCCGTTGTTATAAAGAACTGTTGTGGTTAGCCAGCAGCATGTGTGGACGGCTCAGGAGCCAGGCCCATTAGGGAGTGGTCTGCTGCCTTCAGAGATTGTGTGGGCTGGCGGCAGCAATGAGGTTCCTGAGGACCCTGTGCCAAGTATGCATGTGTGCAGGGTTGCTCACAGGAAAGAGCAGCTGCAGCAGCATGGGCAACTCGGGAGTAAGGGTGCAAGGTAATGGCCCCTCCTTCAAGAAGATAAAAGCCAGCTGTGAATCGTAAGTTCTTTGCAGGAAGCAAAGACGTTTTGAAACTCCAGCCTCGTGGACATTGCAGTATCTTAGTTGGTATTTGAAGACTCTTGTGTTGTATAATTTTTCTAGGTAACCTTATTCTTGGTAGCTTCGCAGTTTTGGCGAGGCTTGTGCTTATCAAAATTAACTAGTTTGCAGCAGCCTCTTGTGTTTGTTTTATTGGAAAAGGGTTTGGGTCAGAACAAGAACAATTGGTGAGCCCGATTCAGGAACTAATAAGAGATCAAAAGTTAAGCGTCCACCATGTACTCCTAGACATTAGATATAAATCTACTGGTAATCTAAAGTGCATTTTCTCCCTAAAATATTTTCTTTTGATTCCATTCACCATCCTGGGGCTGATGCTTAAAATGCTTTGTTCCAGACAAATGTCCTCTTTAGGGAAACTGCACTTTTTTAAAAAGCCCACATATATGCAAAATTACCTCTACACACACATTGCAATGATCAAAACTGCGTTTTGCAGGCTGTGGAGAATGTACTTATGGAAAATCAAAGTCGTTCATCACCTTTCCTCAAGAACATCAAACCAAATTATAACAGAAATTAGGGGCGGGGCTGGAAGTCCTGAAAACTGGGATTTTGAGAACGAGGAATTCATGAAAGTAATAAAGATATCCTTCAACTCAGTTCAAAGTTATGATGGAACCATCAAAAGGTATGACCTGGATCTGAAAGTCTAATGGCCGCCATAAGACCACATATTGAGCAGTCGGCAACTGGCCTGCATTATGGCCATTTGAAGCATCCTGGAGTACCGGGATCATGGTTTGTGATGTTTTTGGTGGAAACCAGCATTTGTTTGTTTCAAGAGTACCTCCATAGCAAGCAAGGGTTCACTTAATGACCACCACAAAATAGATCATAAAATCAGGCATAGTCGCATGATGATCCACTTAGCGACCATAACTTACAACTAATTGTGGGCTCAACTAGTTGTAAGTTGAGGTCTGTGTTATGGTCCTTCTACCTAACTACCTTGAACATCATGAGTTGTCCTAGGAAGATTAGAGGGATCAAATCCAAGCTATAATTTCCAACAGAGCTTTCTATCTTTCACTGCGAAGCATATAAGGGAAATGACTTTTATTAAAAGGCTTTTATTGCTTGGAAAAAATGTTACTTCAGACCCTTTTTTCTTTCCCATTGAAGTTATAACTGGTTCAGCCCTCCTTCAATCCCCAACAAGAACTCCACGAGTGTAAATTAAATGTTGGAAAGTTCTAAAAACTGGGCAAAGTGAGAAAAAAAATCTTCCTTGTATTTCCCCATAATTTGAAAAATCCCTGAAGTCTCTTGGAAAGAATATCAGATTTAACACTCATTATTATAGCTCAATAAACATAGCAATAAGACAGTGTACTGTGAGGCATGCTTTAAATATTTATTATAATTTATGAGGTAAGAATATTTCACTGAAGAAAGGGAAAATATTGATTTATATAAATTTATTAAAGTGATTTATATACTATAAAATACCCCAAATTGTTTTTAAATAATTTTGGAAATAAACTTCCATATCAAAGATTCCAGCAAACTGAAAAGCAGCACAGAATAAAATCATGGATCAAGATTTATTTTTTAGGGAAAAAAAAAATTTTTTTTTAATGCTGGGAGGTTTTTTTAAACCCACTTAAAACATCTGCCAAAAAAAAAAAAAAAACACTTCAGAAGATTACAAGGAATAGAGGCATCAGTATGTATATGAATGTTTCCCGAAATTAGACCAATTTACAGCCTAAAAAATAAGCACCCTATTGAGTAAGTGTGTGTAAACATTGCCAAACTTACAAAAAATTTCCAGATGGGCAGATTTTGCAATTTAAACTGGACATTCGTTAGCGTCTGTCAACATTAAAGCCCTTAACATGCAAAGTTTTTATCTTGTTTTGAACACAGAATTCTTGCTTATAAGGAATGAAGGCTGTGAGTTTTCTAGCATTACACAATGAACAGCTGAGGCCATGTTTATGCCAACCAAGCTCCTGCCCACTTTTGATTTTTGTTTCTTCAACACTGAAGCTGCAAACTGTAACAACTATATAAAAATCAGCTAACCTTAAATTCATACCCAAAGTTTAATCCTGGAAGGACATATCTGCGTGTCAAAATTCACTCTGGGATCCATGAAGATTAAGCCCCAGGCAGGTTTGCTGACTTAACAAGAACACTTGAGTTTTGAAACCCACATGTTCAGGATCTGAAATATAGAGAGTTCTTCTAAACATGTTTATCAAAACTCAAAATTGGCTAGATTTCTGAATTCTTCAGGAAGGCTCTAGTCTAAAAATTTGAAGAAAATTATTCCTCCTTGGTTTCTCTTGCATTTTTACAACATAAATACCTCTTTCATTCTTGTCAGAAAGAATCAACGGACACCAATAAACACACTTCAAAATAAAGTTTAATTATGTCACAAATATCCACTTTGCACTATGTAGTATCATCACTACTAGTAGGCAATATAAAAAGACTTTCCAGCATAGGAAAACCACGGGAATCATGCGATCCTTCAGGAAGACGTACACACGCGCACACACTAAAAGCTGCAATACTAGGCGAGACTCATTTTACCACAACATTCGATCACAATGCACCAAAATGCGTACTGAAAATGCTTATTAAGAGAGAGGGCAATCCGGATTTTGAGATTCAGAGTAATAATACTAAGCTTGCTTTGCTTTATTTTCGTTTTGCTGTTTCTTGTTGCCAATGATGTGATCAATATCATTTATTGGAATGGAGATAGCTGGAGAGTCTTTAAAAAGCCCAGCTGACCCCTTTGCTACTTGGGTGATTATTAACGAAAGAACAGACTTCAGTCTCTATAATCATGCTCTAGTTTAAATTTCAAGTCTAGATCAAACTGAGAGATCTTGTAACTTGGGATATCCATGGTTTGTTTGCACATTATCTTCACTGGTGCTACCTGTAATAGTATTTTTCAAGTATCTTGGTAAATCGCATCACCAAATCCAACCATAGAATAATGCTCCAAGAATTTTTAGCGTACTAATTCCCCACATGCCTACCTATCTCCAAGTGTACATTTTCAGAAGTATAATTGGTGCAATTCAACTCCATAAAAACCAATGCGATTTCACTAGGAATTCTACCGTAATCACCACAGAAGGTACAGCGTATCATATTTTCCCCTCCGATTCTTTGGCTATAGCAAAGTCAAGACTATTTTAATGCTTTGTAATTGTGTAAATGTCCTACAGAAACATCCAAAGTAGGAAGCCATTCCTACCTATTGAGTTTCCTCCAATTTTTAGAATAATTTATCAGACGCCCTAGGCTGTAAGAGAAAATCAAAATGGAGGCCAGGTCTGTCGTCCCCGGTAGAGCAATGTTTCTCAACCTGGAAACTTTTAAGGTGTGTGAACTTCAGCTCCCAGAATTCCTCAGCCAACCAAGCTGAGGCATTAAAGTTACTGAGGTTGAGAAATACTGCTCTGCTCTAGAGCAAAGGCTGGATAGGATTGTTCAGGAGAGGGATTTTGTTTTTTAAAAAGTGAAGATGATAGACGGGACTACACAGAGCCCTGCCTCAATATACAAGTATATGCAAAAAGATGAGGCTTCAGTTCTGCAGATTCCTATAGCTTTGGTTGTTGGATGGGAATACTGTACCCCTTACACCGATTTGGTTCTTCTGGATGTGCATCTGTGATACGGATCCGACAGAAACTCAAGTCTCTGCCCCCCAACCCATTATAGTCTCCCATGCAAGTTTTCCCCCAGAATTCACGACCTTAGTAAATTGGAAATGGCTCTCAGCAGGACGTAAGATAACAAGGGAATTCCAAACTCTTTTATTAAAGGGGGCGGGGGAAAGGAGAAACCCGGAAAATAGCAAAGCTAATATAAAGGCAAAAAGTATTTCTCAAAACTGGAGATCTGAATCGCCTTAGGGCATTGGATGGTATTCGTAAAAACTTGCCTTTTGAAACGGTGCTTGGAATTTTGACACTGATTACCAAAGCCAAAAGAAATGGCAGCGATAATTGACAAGTAGGGGAAGAGATATTGGTTGACTCATTAATTGATCTGCACCTCCTTTGGTTCAGTGCAAACAGAAGAACATTCAGGTCATTAAAGGGAGTCTTAAGTGCAGAAGATTCAAATGCCACCAGAGTGCAGTGTAAACTTCAAGATGAGGGAATAAAACAATACTAGGTGAAAAGTTCAGGTGGGAATTGCTAACTTCCCTCTGCATAAGCATTTGCCTCATATTCAGCACGGTTGGTGGTATATTTATTTAATGTGGACATAGTAGCAGCTGCAAAGAATACACTTGACATGGGACCACCGCCTGCTCTCGCTCACGTCAATTTTTTGGCTGTAATTTTAGAACCTCAAATCATAAATTAGTTTCTGACATTTTGCTTAAATTATCCATTTTTTTTTTCCATGATCTACAGATGGGGAATGTACTAAATAGGGCAGAAAAAGACACATGCAGACAGAGGGACCCAAAGTGGAAGATATTATCAGCAACAGCATACTTAATCAGCATTCTATTTTTATTTTACTCTTTCTTTTTTTTTCTCCTTAAACCCCAACCCTTCCACCAAGCAGCGAGTTCTGGGCTCTTCCCTGCCAGTTCAGGCTACAGAACTGCTGGCTTGTCAAGAAAGTGCTTGGAAGTCATAAGCAGCCCAGGGCTGAGCAGAGTTCAGTTGTGCTCAGCGTCGCGCAGTCGGCATCCCACCGCAGTGATGAGGGCGGCTCCTTTGCCGCTGCCGTCTTCCGAAAGCAGGAATGTCACGTTGCATTTGGGCGCCAGCTCCTTTACCGTTTGGTGCATGACCTTTGAAAAGCTGCAGGAAAGCAGAGAAAGGGGATGAAAAGGCCTCCTTCTGCCCAACTGAAAATGGCACCATCACCCAGATATGCCGGGAGGGGATGGGTGGGCTTCACCTAACTTGCAGGTGGCAGGAAGGTTGGCCTCTGCAGGTGCAGTGGGGCATGAGAATTCCTGCCATTTCCAAAGTGTGACCATGTCACTCATGAACAAAAGCAGCAGGGGATCTATTGCAACACAACACACACATACACACACACTCCATCTTGCTGATTTCAGATCTACTGTTGTTATGCGCAGGTAGGCAGGAATTTTAATTTTATTTGCTTACGTATCACATTTCTACACCACCCATCTTACTTAAGCGACTCTTATGGGAATGACCAAAACATGGAGATGTTTTTCCTACATTACGACTAAAATGGGATGGTTGTGCAAAAGAATGGCCATGGATATTATACAGAACAGAGGTCTCCAAACTTGGCAAGTTTAAGACTTGTGGACTTCTACTCCCAGAATTCTCCAGCTAGCATAGAATAGCTGGCTGGAGAATTTTGGGAGTCGAAGTCCACAAGTCTTAAACTTGCCAAGTTTGGGGACCTCTGATGTAGAATAATACCGTATACATTTTATACAACAGCCTTCTTCAACCTGTGTTCTCAAGATGTGTTGAGACTGCTTTTCCTAGAACTGCCAACAACGATGTTGAGGAAGGCTGTTAACACAGAAATGCCTGCTAGCAACTGTCCATGGAAAGCCAGAGGCACAGATTGGCATGTGCTCTACACAGAGTCAAGGATGTGGATGGAATAGGCAGGCACTTATTTTCACTCACATAGAAACAAAAATGAACATCCTGTCAGATTACAAACATCCTCTGCCCTTCATTTATTACTCAGAAAATAATGCTGGAGGAACAAAGTATATGGTGGTCACATGTACCATATTTTTGTACTTGGAAAGGAATTTATTATTTTATTTATTAAATTTATTTGCCGCCTATCTCGCCTTGGGGCCAGTCTAGGCAGCTTATAATAATAAAAAGGAAGAAAATGGAAGGAATGTAATCAGAAGTAAAATAACACAACCCATAAACAATGAAAAAGGAATACAACAAGAATATCAATATGATGACCAAAAGATGAATGGGTGAAGAGTAAAGAGCAAGGGAGGAGGAGATTATAAATTTTATATATTATATAAAAATTATATATTTATCTTAACTTATAGTATGTAGATATAATTTAATTATAATTTATACACACATATGTGTACACTGCACACATGAAGAGTCACCTTGTGGTGAGATGGACACCAAATAAATTTAATAGATAATAAAATAATAATAAAAGATGGACAACACGGGAAGAAAAACTAATCTGTGATGGCTTCAATTTAGTGTGCCAACCCTGAACCTCCAGGAAAGAGTCCCATCTTTTCAACTTTTCCATCTTCTGAAAACCACAACACTTACAATGAACCATCAGAAGAACATCATCCCATGTTTGCATTAACCTACATGAGGGTGGTGATAAAGGTACTTGAGACTGAATGACTACATTTCCCACGCATGGACTGGGAGGGGGAATGAGATTTAAACCATTCATAATCCAGCATTTGCTCCTACCCAGATACATTCACACAAAATACTTACTGTGGATGAAGTTTGTATAGCGTGCCATCTACGCCCACGGTTATATCCAGATGCTCCAAGCCTCTGTTCTCCCTTATTTTGTCTACAACAGCAGCCATTCCAGCGCCACACAGCTGAGCTGCCCTCCGCGACACGGCTCCACATACTGTCTTCACAATTATACTGTCATCGCAAGTGCTGTTCAGGCCAAGCTGCTGGAGAATAGTACGGACCTGAAGCAACGCTAACCTATCGCTGTTGAGAAAGAGCATGAAGGGGGCAGAGTCACGTACGTGAATGATTTTCCAAAGCGAAGCATCTCATTTGAGGGAAAAACTAGCTCAGGGACCACTGCCCCACAGACCACACAGATTTCACCTCTGGAGTATCTTTGCAGACAACATGCAGACCCTACCAACTATATCAGTGGTAGCTAACCTTTTGGGGCTCCTGTGCCCAAAATTGTGCGTGCCAGCACCCAGAAGGTAATGCGTGCCCCCCCCCCCCCCCTGCATGCGCGTGCAATCCCCCCCCCCCCCCCCCGCATGCCCCCCCCTTACCTGCATACCTCACAGCTGATTTTTGCCCAGTTTGAGGTCTTTTTCGGCCTCCCAGAGGCTTCAGGAAGGCTTTTCAGGCCGAAAATTAAGCTTCTTTCATCACTTCTGGTATTTCTGGAAAAACAGGAAGTGACGAAGCGGGCCTAGTTTTCATCCTGAAAAGCCTACAGAAGCCTTTCTGAAGCCTCTGGGAGGCCAAAACAGGCCTCAAACTCTGAAAATTAGTTGTGAGGCATGCGCATGCACAGTGGGGTAAGTTTGCCTGCAATTCGCGTGCTGGCACAAATGGCTCTGCCTGCTACCTGTGGCACGTGTGCCATAGATTCGCCATCACGGCATTATATATTCAGCTAATGTAATGGTGTGCGGGGATGACCTTGGGAGACAGGAGGGAGAACTGCAGACTGGACAGGTAAAGTGTAAAAGGTATCTCTGCCTACAGAAGGAGGGAGGATGCAGGGATGTTTTAAAAAGGCCCCTCCCTGGTTTTCTTAAGGAAAAGGAAAAAGGGGAGAAAAACTTTCCATTTTCTATTAATATAATTCTGTTAATATAATCTTTCAATGGACAGAGCTAATGCTCCGGGTTGTACTTCTGATCTGGACTAACTCACAGGGCTAACAGCTAAGGCCAATTTACCAAAAACATAAATCAGGTTTCATGTAATTCTACACAAGCAAGATGTTTTTATTTGACCAGCATCATTTCAAAATCTGACTCCAATGAAATATCAGTAATAGGCTATGAGAATGTTATCGTGGTGTAAACTTCTTTGAGTCAGAATCCTTTAAAAAAAAATGATCCACTCTCATGAACCTCTGGATCACCATAATGGGACCACCTGCAAACAGTCTGGCTAACTTGGTCCAAAGAGGAAATGGAATTGTTTCAAAGTTCTCCAGAACATTTTATTCCCGGGACACGAGATTTTACACAAACCTAGTTCTAGATGAACTGAAGTATCACTGTTTTTAGTGGAAATATTACAAATATGATGAATTCTGAACCCAAGCCCGCTTCTTTCAATTTTAGCTCTCATCTAATGTTTTTATGTTTCAAAATAAAGATTTTTTTCCCAATAAATACCTTTCGCGAGGTAAAATTATAGTCTCCCGCCAAACATAAACATCCTTTTTAAGTGCACCCCTCATTAACTTGCCTGGTTTTTAAAAGGCCTAGTCACAGAAAACAGGAGAGAACTGCCCACTCTCCGAGACAGTATCATTGAAGAATAAGACACTCTGGAGATGGTCAGCATTACTCCTCAGTTTTTATATTAATATGTTCCTACATTATGCTTGAGATTGGTTGGTGTGGTAATTGAGGCACCAGGCTAGAAACCAAGAGACTGTGAGTTCTAATCCTGCTTTAATAAAGTCAGCTAAGCAACCTTGGGAATAATCACATTCTCTCAGCCTTTGGAAGGAAACAGTGCCACCAGCTTCCAAAAATTCTTGCCAAGAAAACTGTAGGGACTAATCCAGAAAGTCAACATTGGGGTCAACACTGACTCAAAAGAACCTGCCAAAAGAGAGAGAAAACAAACCTGTACTGCTACCAAACTGTTTTTTTTTTCCCGAGCTGAAGCTGAAGCAAAATACGTTCCTTCTGATACCGGAACATTGGTGTGGCAAAAACCTGTTACCCGTTATATCCTAGATCAACACTCCAAGAAAGAAAGTGGATAGTTTCCTTCAAATCCAAATTAACCCCAGATTAACATGGACACTTCTTGCCTCTACTTGTTTCTTGATTTTGCTCAATTGGGATCTTCCTGTAATTTCTTTCTAAGTACTAAGTAGCCCTGATACTGGTTAGCTTTGGCAAAAATCAGTCAAAAACTCAGCTAGATCAGAGGTGGGGAAACAACCCCTTTATGACGTGTGGACTTCAACTCTCAGAATTTGAAGCCATAAAAGGCCGTTGTTCCCAACCCCCTAAGCTAGATGATGAGGACAAAGTATTGATGTGAGTTTGTGAAGAAAATGTTAAATTAGATACCTAAATAACTGCTAATATACTGAGATAATGACAAGCTCCATTCCAGATATATTGTGCGCACTTACCTCTCAATCTGTGAAAGAAACTTGGTTTCAAAAATGCCCCTAGTTTTCAGTGTTTCCGAAATTTGACCTCTGAAAAGGAATCCTCTTTTTGTGAAGTCAATCAAAATATTACGGACAATTTCCCCTAAATACATTCCACTGATCATCTTCTCATACCTACAATCATGGACAAAAATACTAGTTCAGAAACACTGTTAGCCAGAATGACAGAAATTAACTATTTTTTATAGAGAACAAGATTTCTTTAGGCATAAACTTATAAACATTGAATGACTTAAGAAAACATGGGCCATTCGGCTTGATGGCAACAGTCTGTCCCTAGAAAAACCAAGGAATGTCCTGAAAAGGTAACACACAAGCTTCTTTTTCCTCTGTTGTAAAAAAAAGTTTTTAAAATCTACTGCATTTTTCACAAGCAGACTGAGCAGAAGAATTTTTACACTGCTTCATTTACATGAAGCAAAAATGTAAAACCAATGCATAGTCAGTAAACTACTGGCAGTCCTTGAGTTTCAACCGCAACCGAGCCCAAAATTTTATGTTTCTCAGTAAACCATTTGTTAAGTGAATTTTGCCCCCTTTTACAACCTTTCTTGCCATTAGTTAAGCGAATCAGTGCAGTGGTTAAGTTAGCAACACAGTTGTTAAGTGAATCAGACTTCTCCATTGACTTTGCTTGTCAGAAGGTCACAAAATGGGATCCCATAACCCCAGGAACACTGCAACTGTCACAAATATGAGTCAGTGGCCAAGCATCTGAATTTTGATCACATGACCATGGGGATGCTCCAAGGGTCACGTGAAAAATGGTCCCGAGTCACTTTCAGTGTTGTTGTAATTTTGACCCGTCACTAAACGAACTGTTAAGCCCTGATTCAGAAATCCATGTGACCCGAGAAGCCACATCCCATGCGCCTTTCACACCTGTTGATGAATATGACAATCGTTCCATTTCACACATTTCCAATCCCCTCTTATTTTTCCTGAACGGGTAGTTCTCATTTCGCAACCACAGCAGGAACCAGCAACTTGAGCATTAAATGCTCAAGTGCTCTGTGAGGGAAACCACGGCCATGCTTAACAGTATTACTTCAGCTTTCCTTTGGTTTGCAGACCTGTCAGTGTCTTAGATGCAAGGATACCTTGTGAAGGTACATTTTAATCACTGCCATAACTGCAAATGGTCACTAAATGACCAATGAATTGGCAAAGTACAGGCCAAAGGAAGGGAGGAAAGAGAGAAAGCATGCTTTTCTCCTGATGTTTTTTTTTGGGGTGGGGGGGGGGGATTATAGCAATTTTTGTTAGCTATTCTTCCTCATTTATCAGGAATCAAAACCTGTTATTTCCCGGACCAACAGCTGTTATTTCTCATTCCACCGTAAAGAATCCTGAGCATGCTCAGTCTCCATTGTTGACTTTGGAAAGTCCTAGCCCATCTCAACTGAAGGATGGTTATTACCCATCTTTCATAGTGGTGGATAAAAATATTTCTGACTTCACATTGGATGTTTGTCTTCTTTTTTAAAAAAAAATTTTTTTTTTAAGAACAAGCATAAACATAAACACAAAACATAAAACCTTCTTTCCGTGGATGTTTGTCTTCTTGATGTTATCATCAGGATCTTGTAAAAGAAACCACAATAATTGTACTGACCCACACGTCTACATTCTGACTGTAAGCATTCAGTCTCTGGCTGAGTTGTACACCCTTCTGTTCTCCAACAGTACTGCACACAACTGGGGGTAACCACCTCTACCTCAAAAGAAAGCCACGCAACTTCACAGTTCTCATCAGGACCTACCTTTGCTTGCCACTATTTAACGAAAACTCATCCACAGCTTTGTCATAGATCGTCCTGATGTCATCTAGGCATCCGTTGTCCCCAAAGGCACCCCATTCCATGTTCACACACATCCTGCCCTGGTCTCCTTCCACCATTTCAATATTTCTGGCTTCCTCCATGTAGCAGGCGTTGCTCCCAGTTCCTGGCATTAGGAAATACACAAGCCTTTCATTGCCTTTTAACTGAAATTACAAGCCCGAATGTGGTCTTAAGTAAAAAAAAACTACCATTCTCTCTCATATACAGTGCGTGACCCTCTCTCTTATTATATAGCACACATACTGCCTTCCAACACAAAACAACAAAAACATAATTGAATGGAATTCAGTGTGGTCAAGGGAAAGGGTAGCAGCAATTGGAAAGGGAAATAGAAAGCAAGGAATATAATTGGATAGAAAGGTGAAGAGAAGAAGGAAATGCTTTGGTTTGATGAGAAACCAAGTCAAACAGCTTCTCCTCAGCATAGCTGAATGTGGTCCTTGTGAAGATCTACTCTTATCTGCCTTCTGAAATCACAGATTGGGGTGGGGTGGGGGAATCCCACTTTCCAGGGGAATTTATTAAGGACTGGAAAGCATATAATTGCTTCTAGAAAAGCTTCTGGTTTGAGAAATGTAAACGTCAGACCAATCTACAGTAGAAAGTAAAGTAGAATTATTAAAATAAAAAGTTGAAGGTGTGGCATGGTTGAAAACAGAATCTGTTTTGTAAGCACCACTAAGCTCCTCACAGCAAAATATTAAAGCAGGCCTCAAACATACCCACAATGAGTCCTATTTCACAATTTGGATCTTCGTAGGCACAAGTCATCATAGTTCCAACTGTATCATTCACTACAGCCACAACGTCCAGTTCAAATTCCTTAAAAGAGACAACATTATAACACCATTATTTTATTTGCAAAAATTAAAAAAGACAACCCAGCATTTATTATCTATTCTCTGATTTTTGCCACTTCCTTATGACTACATCTAGCTTTTATCTTTTAATACCCTTCAATGAATACTTCTGTTTATACTGTTTTGAAAAAGCAACATATTCTTAAAATGTTAGGAATAATAGGAAGCTCCCTTACATAATTTTTGGGTACACCAGATATGTATTAAATCACCATCAAAGGCCAGTACTCCACCAAGGGCTGGCAACAGATGTTAAAATCGGCCTTAGTTTCACCAGCATTTTTTTTTTACATATCCTTCACTTTATAGACAAGTATGCACTATATTCTAAGCTAAGCAATGTAGAGAATGTGATGATACATCAGTGATTCAACCAACAATATATTAATTTTAAAATGATCACAATCTTTCAATCTTGAACCAAAAACAGACGTATAACTCACCTCTCTTCTTTTAATTCCATCTCTTAGCAAACTAACAACATCCTCTCCTTCGCAGTCAGTAGCCTTAAAACCCTTGGTCCAATTCAAAAGGATACCCTGAAAAACAAAGTAAGTAAAGTCCACATCTGATCCTAAGCAAGTGTTATCAGAACAAACCAGAAATAGCCACTAAAAGCAATACTGGACCTAAACAACTAATGGAACACTTATGACAGCCATTTATTATTGCGTGCCCAATACAGATTGGGATTACAACTTCTAAAATGTCTTTGACCCTGTAGTTCCAACTGATCTGGTTGGCATTAGATGGGGAAAACTGGCATTAAGACATCCATGACATCCATACCACACCTGTGGAATGTTAGACTAAGCAACTTGGGGTTAGAAGGGGACAATAACCTACATTTCCTCAGCTAAATCTCATGAAAGATTATTTAATGTTCAGTGTTAACTATGCTAAATCTGCCATCCAGAAAAGCCAAGTGAAACAAGAAGAAGCAACGGCTGAAGTGATATGACACTCTCTTTTCTTCCTATGCCAGTATTTCTCAAATTCAGCATCTTTTAAGATGTATGGACTCCAACTCCCAGAATTCCTCAGCCATACATCCTAAAGGTGCTCAGGTTAAAATCACTGCTCTGCGTTATAAATCAGCAATGTAAATGGTAACCATTATTCCTGGAAGTATCTATTTCGAAATAGATCACTGTCAAAGCACAGCCTACAGCCATACACAGCCAGAAATTAACCTGGGGACAGGTTTTCGATCCCTGCAATGAACATAGCATCAGTGCCACCTGCAAGAAGTCCCAGGTTGACATTTGGCATTTTCAGACAAGCTGGGAAATGCTTCCATTTGAAACGCCGTCCAGAGAAGCTACCACTTCAAGGCCAGGCAATACTAAGCAATACGGATCGAATGATCGGAATTCAAAATGAAGAACTTCTCTGCTAGGCCTGAAACAGAGAAACCCATGTAGAGGTTCTCGACTTAGGACCACAACTGGGACCAGAATTCCCACTGCTAAGCAAGGCAGGTAACTGAGTGAGTTGCAGTTGATTTTACAACCTTTTTTTGCCACGGTTACATGCATGTTAAATGCATCACTGCAACCATTAAGCCGATCCATAGGGTTCTTAAATGAATCCTACTTTCCACCATTGACCTCGCTTGCCGGAAGTCGACCGGGAAAGTCACGTGACCCTGGGATGCTGCAATCATCCGTAAAGGACCAGTTAACAAGTGCTGGGATTTTGATCACACGACCACAGGGATGCTGCAGCAGTTGTAAGTGCAAGGACCAATTATAAGTCATTTTTCTCAGTGCCACTATAACTTTGAAGCATCATAAAACAAACCGTTGTGCGTCAAGGACTACCGTATTTTTTGCACTGTAAGACGCACCTGACCATAAGACACACCTAGGTTCAGAGGAAGAACATGGGCAATGACAAAAGACAGAAGAGGCAGGGCTCAGCACTGTAGAAGGACCCTGCCGCCACGGCCTATATTTGTTGCGGCCCGACAGCAGCCAGCGGAGCTGACAGCAGATTAGGACAGGGAGGAGGTTGGGGAGGAGCCTGGGCCAGTCCTGGAGACTGGGAAAGGCTCTGACCGGTGCTCTGCGTCAAAGGCAGAGATGGGGCCAGGGCCGTCTGACAGTTATCAGCTGCCTTCGGAGTCAAACCTCAGTGAGGCAGAAGAACAGCTGGAGCCTGTTCCTAATGTGCACAGGCACAGAGTTGCCAGACGAAGGGAACAGCTGAGGAATAAGGGCCGACCTTGGGAATAAAGCCACAGGTGGATGAATGGCCCCTCCCCTAGAGTATAAAAGAGGAGCGAAAGGGGAGTGGGGCTTTGCAGGGAACAATTAGTTCATTCCGACATGCTTGCCAAGTATCGCCAGTGACTGAAAGATTGCCAGTGTCTCTCTCCAAGCCTGATGAAGGTTTGTAATTGGGAACTATCATGAAAGACTGTTGGCCAGGACTTTGTTGGAGAGGAAATTCATTGCAAATCAAATAAAAGGGGTTTATTGGGACGAGGACTCACAGCTTCCTGCTGTTGGGGGGAAGCCCAGGTCCATAAGACGCACAGACATTTCCACCCATGTTTGGTACCTGTGGACAAGAACTCCCACCCAGGTTTTCTTCCCAAGGGCAGATTTAAGCTTCTCTTGCTCCAAGCCCATGTTTCTGGTTCAGCCAGCAACAGTAGGATTTCGCACCGTCTTCATCTATATTGCTTTTCCATTCCTCAAATGCCAAAGGAAACGGATCCCCAGGAGCAGGTGATGAAAACTGACGTTTGTGAACAACAAGAGCCACTTACACAATCTAGGCTGTTCTGTTTGCAGGGAAAAGAAAAGGTAAAGCCCAGAGGAAGGCGAGCTCCTTTTATTCCCATGTAATCCAAGAAGTCCGAAATGCAGGTGACAATGTGATCGAACAGCTAAAAAGAGAAAGGAAATTCCTGTCGTGAAATAATTGGTTCTTGTTTTCTAAATTGCATTTAACAAATAGTAGCATTACTTATTTTCTTCCCGTACTGCTCACCTCTTCTCCCGTCCCCTGCATAACCTCTACAGGGATTGAATATATTTTATTGTGCATCTCCACCATCCTTCTTTTACCACTTCGGATCTTCACCAGCAAAACACGGAAGTTTGTCCCACCAAGATCCAGAGCCAGGAAGTCTCCATTCTCTGCAAACGAAGGAGTTTTAAACATTAGGAATAAGGCCCTTAAATTCTGTTGGAGATGGTGATGTGGCCTGCTGGTAAGTATCTCATAAACATCAGGCTGGCCATTGGAGGAAGAAAATACTGTACTACCCTTGCCTTTCTCTGTATAAGTCATCTTAAGAATAGATACTGGATTATTAAATAATATTAGTTATTAATACAGATAATTAATATAACAGAATAACAAGAGTTGGAAGGGACCTTGGAGGCAGGAAACCCTATACCACTTCAGACTAATGATTATCCAATGTTTTCTTAAAAACTTCCAGTGATTGGAGCATCTACAACTTCTGAAGGCAAACTGTTCTACTGGTTAATTGTTCTCACTGTTGGAAAAGTTCTCCTTAGTTCTAGGTTGCTTCTCTCCTTGATTAATTTCCATCCATTGCTTCTTATCCTACCCTCAGGTACTTTAGAAAATAAGTAGATCTCCTCTTCTTTGTGGCAGCCTCTCAAATATTGAAAGACTGCCATCATAGGAGTGCCTAGTCCTTTTCACTAGACTAGACTAGACTGTCTATACTATATAGAGAGCCATTTTGAAAACTTCACTGGCTTTAAAATAACAAAATCAAACATGGATCTTCCCAAATGGTTAATCAGCCTAAAATGTTTTGAAAATGCAGAAAAGTTGAGGCACATACATAGTATTTTAATATTAACACCTCACACCAACAAAATTTGGGTTGCCGAACAATGCTGAATATGACTGAGGTGCATCGGATATGAAGGTTTACCATTAGGTGGCGCTTCAGCTCCAATTACAATCGAAAGGGATACAGAATAGAACACAGAATAACAGAGAAAGGACCTTGGAGCTTTGCCGGCTGGGGAATTCTGGGAGTTGAAGTCCTCCAGGCTTGAAGTTGCCAAGGTTGGAGACCCCTGTTCTAGTCTAACCTCCTACTCTTATAAACCTCCAATGGTGGAGCACCCACGACCTCTTGGAAGCAAGCCATTCCACTGACTATCCTAGAATTCCCCAGTTAGCCAGCATGCATATCGAAGTAGGTGTATCAATATTCAGAAAATTACAGAATGTGGATTGCCAACCAACAGCAGATCTTTGATTGGTGAGTTCCAGCCTTATTTTTTTAAAAAAACAAAAACAAATCTTCGTTCTGCATCAATCTGGGGCTCTTTTAGATTTTTTTATTTCCATACCTCTAATTCCAGACCATGATCATATACTTGTTGGGATTTGTGGAGGCTGCATTCTGAAATACCTCGTCGGCATCAGATCAGCCATCTCCCCTAAAGGCCGTGAGAGAGCTACCTGTCCCGTCAGGGGTGCTGCGGACGAAGGTGGGCAGCATCTTGACCTTGGCGTGGTCATGGGACTTCTTCTTGAGGCCGGCCTCCATCTCAATCCTCATCCGCTTCTTCACCTGAAGAAGCTGTTCGTTGGTGAGCTTGAATTCTGCCAGGGTCTCGGCAATCAACCGGTGCTGCTCCGCTAGCCGATAAGCCACTGCGGTCACGAAGGCCGCCCCCTTCCCGCTGCCACTCTCAGAGAGCAAGAAACGCACATCGGAATCAGGCACTAAGCGTCGCATCGTTTTGTGCAGGCGCCTGGCGTATCTAAAGAACAAGAAGGGGTGAAATCATCATTTTGTTTAATGCACAACACAACCACATCCATAGCTCACAGCGGAGGCCTGGATCACCCTTGTGCCATCTTCAGCAATCCTCCCGTCGTGCTAACCAGCCTCTCTCCTCGTACAAAGGCATGGAAGCAATTCATACGCTATCGAGGAGTAACTAAGCCAATTTGGTGTAGTGGTTAAAGTGCCGGCCTAGAAACCGAGAGACCACGAGTTCTAGTCCTGCCCTAGATATGAAAACTGGCTGGGTAACTTTGGCCCAATCACCCTCTCTCAGTCCCACCCACCTGACAGGATGATTATTGTGGGGAAATTAGGAGGAAGGAGCATTGTGCGTCCTTTCCACCTTGAGTTACTTATAAAGTAATAAAGGCAAGACAAAAATCTAATGAATTAATAAATAAAAACTGCTATTTGAGAACTCCAGGAGATTATCTAGTCCCACAGAACAACAACATAACTTGTACAGAGAAACTGAGGATAAATCAATGGAATTGAGACCTGCCAAAGTCATCTCTGCCTGTTTTGTTCAACTGATTAACATCGCTTTTCCCTCAAGAAAACTGAGAAAACCTTATCTCTAAAATCCCGTATGTTGTGAGAAATGCCTCGGCATGAATTATGGAGTAACAGGTACAAGAGAAGGTACGAGCAACTTCTTCAGGGGAAAGAAATCCCTCTGTAGCAAAACAATTAAAAATAATTAGAGTTATCTCCCAAGGGCTGAAAATCGAGATAACGCCTTCAAAATGCAATTTTTAAGCATTCAGGCAGGAGTGGAATCAAGGTTTGTTACAAGTTAATAAAAGTGTTCCTTTCCAAAGGTTCAGACCATGATTTTTTTTTACAGCTTTCAAACAATACATTATGACGAAAAGATCGCCTAAATCAGAGGTCTCCAACCTTGGCAACTTTAAGACTTGTGGGCTTCAACTTCCAGAATTTTCCAGCCAGCTATGCTAGTCATCATCTGCAAAGCCCTGCATGGAACAGGTCCAGATTATTTGAAGAACTGCCTACGTACCATTGTTTATGCCCAGCGAATACAGGCCAGCGGAGTTGACATGCTCGGGATGCCTTTGATAAAACAGGGCCATCTACTGGAAGCATACCTTCTCTGTTGCACTATGCCTGCCCTTTGGAATGACTTGGGCCTCTTAGTATCCATAGGACTCCTACTCTGTTGGCTTTCTATAAGGGCCTTGAAAACCTGGATGTCTCCTGGGCCTTGACTTAAGAGGGCTGGAGCCCCCTGCTGAATGCCCTTTGGGTCTATATTTTTAGGTAGATCAACCAGATCCCCTCTTCTTTGGTTTTGTATTGTGGTTTTATTGTTTATTATATTGTGTGCCAACCAAATCCAATGTTTGAAGTTGGGTGAGTGCCTAAATAGAACAGATAGATGGGAGGGAGAGTAAACAGATAGACAGACCACACGGTTTTCTTCCAGATATTTTTCAGTTCCTTATTATTACTTAGAACCCCTAGGATTTCCTGAACATCTTCCGTACAATGATTAATTAGATCCTGAATAGATAAGAGGGGGGGAAAGCATGGGAAGCCGTCTTCCCCATTCCTTCACGCACGTGCACTCATGGAATAATGTCAGGCACGAAGAATCAGGATCGTTCGTAAAGTTGCAGCATAGAAGATTTGTGCAAACTAAGGCACAAAAACCCGATCAGCTAAGAGTCAGCACTGAACAGGTGCCAGGTAAGAATCAACAGAATTCAAAGGAGGCTGGATTGGGATCTCTTGTGGTAACGCAAGGATTGTAAACGTTTTAAGTTTAGAGTCCCCCAATTCTACCTGTTCTTCTACAAATACTCGGCAAAATAGAAGCCATGGAGTTTTACATGTTACAGAGATGCTTATGGCCCTAAGTGGCAAACAGTTTACAAATTACTGTATAAGTAGATATCCCTGTTAGGGTGTAAAGGGTATGGAGCATCCTCATAAACACTTTATTTGTTTAACAAATTTATATACCCACCATCTCATAAAAAATGACTCTATTTAACTGTTTTCAGATTCCAGCCTGCACGTTGCTCTCTATGAAGAGTTCTGTTTATTTAGCTAAAGTTCAGAGTATCAGATGCCAGCATGATGTGCTGCATGGCTGACCTTTACTAGAGATGGCTCTTAACAGGTGCCAAGATATAATTATGGAAACGGCACAAGATCTTACTGCGGATGCATCTTGTAAAGGGATCCGTCCACTCCCACCGTGGTGCGCAACCGGCCAACTCCTTTATTGTCCCGCAGCTGATTCAGGATAGCACCCAGAGTACTTGCCACCAAGTTCGCAGAGCGGAACGACACAATGGTGCACACATGCTGGACAGCGATGCAGTCCTCGTGGGAGGGCTCGACCCCAAGACGTGTCAGTATGTCTTTGGCTTTATGCAAACCTTCCTTGCTCCTAAAACCAGAAGCGAACACGATATGAGGTTCTAAAATTCATAATTTAATGACACAGCAATCTGACAGCAAGTTACTCATTCAGGTTGCAGGAGAACTTGGAAGAATCTGAGAATGGGTTATAATAATCTCTCCCAGAAGGTGCCGTGGGAATTCCATGAGGGAGGGAGGGAGAGGGAGAGAGGGAGAGATGGGGAGCCCGGATGGACACAACTGGATATTAACTCCTATAAAGGACAATGACCTTCTCAAAGAGTGTTCAGTTCTGCAATACTGCAATGAATTGGAAAGAGGGCATTGATTATGCATTATTATGCAACAAAGCAATCAATCAGGAACATTATTTGTGATGTCTTTCCTTTAAATAAGCTACACAGACGGGAAGAAACTTTTTTAAAAAAAATCAAATGTTGAGGCATACATTGAAATTTTATTTCTTCCTTGCTGCACTGATACATTGCACTATTTTGCTATTAATGGCATTAGTATCCATGTTTATTATTATTTTCTTCAATCCATACATGTCCTCCCCTCCCCCTCCCAACACAATTCTGCACAGACTGAAAATTTTCAGATACAATGCAGTAATGTAAATATATACCATGACAGCTGTAATAACCCTATGACACAGTGTTTGTGCAAAAAACATAGGGATATGGATGGATGGATGGATGTCAGTAACAATATGAATTAAAAGATGTTACAGTGCCCAAACTGTTGTGGAAGCAAACAGATTTAAAAGACTTAACAAGGAGAAAATACTTCCATAAATGCAAACTCAATGCTTGAATCTGTGGCCTGCTCCTGAAGTTATTGGCAAACTACTGAGCCATATCTGAGCTTCTAATAATTGGAATATGGCCTACAAATATGATCAACACTTCTGAATTCTAATTATTAGAACAAACAGGTCTAATTCTCAAGCCCCCTGAAACACATTCAAAAGGTAAAGTCAAAAGCAGATTCAGATACAGACTTCACAGATATACATCAATGAGGTTTAACAGTGTGCAATCTGAAAACAACGGCAACTCTTCCAGAAAAAAAAAATACAAAATAAATATTTACAATTTCTGTCATTTAGAATCTTGCAGGTTCATTAAAATGATAAGCAATTGTTGACCATCTTCAACTCTTGATTCATCTCGAATGATCTTTGAGTGCTGTAAAATTAACACTGGCTAATATTATAATTTTTTAAACATGGATTAAATGCAAGTTTGATTGTATTCAACTGACTAATGAAATAAATGGTTATTAAAGTGAATCGTGATTAATATTATCTCATTTATTTCAATGGATTCACTGTACTTACAACTAAGCACAAATCTACAGCACTATTAAGTTAGCCAATAATTATTCTTAAAAGCCACTGGTGGATCAAATCCATTTCAAAACCTAGAGGAAGCTTCTAAAGCACTTACTTCTCTATGGCAGAAACATCCTTAGTTTCCAATTTCCCTTTGGTCAAAAGTTCAGGAGTGATTTGCCCCTCAAAAAGGAGACCTTCTTTGGCCATTTTGACAAGGATTAGCCTGACAAGTTCACCCATGTACATTCCACTGACCATCTTCTCAAATCTGAAAAGAGGTTTCACAAAATAAAATGGTGTTCAGTCATTCAAACTAATACACAGAAGTGCATCCTACTCAGAATCTATAAGGTTGCAGTTTTATATATAAAATCTTATTCATGTAAAAAGTTCCATATTTTGGATTGCAAGTATGGGGGGGGGGGTGTATTGTAACTGCAATGTTTGCTAGGCAACCAGTTGAAAATTGAGGGTTACATGTAAACTTTTTTTACACCACAGCAATCTGTTTTCACTTTTTGAGGCGTTATTTCAAACAGCCCAAAGCTTTAGAAATGCACGATGCTGATATCATGACATTATGCTCGAAAATAAGACAGTTCCTTTAAGACATTTTGCGTCTTTATTAACCTTGTCTGAAAACTTACATAATTTTGTTACTTTTCTGCTAGATTACATCACAGGGTTTCAGTGACACTATCTTTGGGGCAAAAGAGTAGGGAAGACTAACAATATGAACACTGAAAGGAATCCCAATAATTATTGGTTCTGTGCAAATTACAGTGGGTGTAAGTAATTAATAAATTAAATGCTGATGGTCTAATGCAGGGCTGTCAAACTCATCTCGTCACGGTGGTATCACATGACATATTCAGACTTTTCCCACCTTCACTAAACCGGATATGGACGTGGTCAGCACGTGACGCATTCAGCCCACGGGCCACAAGTTGGACAGCCCTGGACTAATGCAACTAGCCAAGAAACTGTCCAAAGGTGCCCACAGCTAAGAATCTGAAAGGAACTCTTTTAGATTAGACCAACGTTTTGCAACCTTGACTACTTTACGATGTGTGGACTTCAACTCCCAGAATTCCCTAGCCAACATAGCTGGCCAAGGAATTCTGGGAGTTGAAGTCCACACATCTTAAAAGCTGCCCCTTCTTAAAGAGAAACACAGGATCAGGCCATGTAAGATATAATCGCTTCAATTACAGTTGCTTCCCGGGATTAAGGGAACCTCGATCAATCTCTCTGTCAAATTCAGTCCGGATGTCTTCTAATGAACCATCATCTCCAAATGCACCCCATTCTGTGTTGATGCACATGCGGCCTTCATCCCCTTCCACCAGATCAATATGCCTCATTTCCTCCATATAACAGGCATTTGTACCAGTACCTTAAAAGAAGCAAATGGGATTGTGTCATCACAAATGCAAAGCCAAAATTCTACTATGAGTGATTCTGAACAAAGAATTAGTACCGATAATTAAGCCAACTTCGCAACGCTGGTCATCAAATCCGCAGGTCATCATTGTCCCAACAGTGTCATTAACCACTGCCATGATGTCCGCATCATAATCCTTTAGAATGAAACAGAGTATTTTCTTATACATCAGACAATTTAATTATCAATGTTGATCTGGATATTCTAAATGTCAAACCCCATAAACTTTGGCATGCCAAGCATATCATTAGGTCAGGCAACAGATTATGGCTTTGTATTTTTTTCTTATTCTTACACACAAGACAGATTGTCTCCTTGAAATGTAGACTTATTTTCTTCTCAAAAAAGTCCTTCATCAAAAACTCTCCTCCCCTTTGTGACTCAGTCCTAGTTGTAGCCAATTTGAGACCAATAAAAAAAAAGCCTACTGTGATTTGTAGCTTTGTTAAAAGAACATTCTAACATGAATGTATGTTCTTCCCACAATGACTTGAGAATATTTCTCATTCAATGGAGATTATCTATGGACTTGTTTCTACATAAAATGGGTCAATGGAGTTATCATGCAATAATTTATGTTACTTCAGGGTGGATTGTTTGAGGCAGGGGTGTCCAACCTTGGCCATTTTAAAACTTATGGACTTCAATTCCCAGAATTCTGGCTGGGGAATTCTGGGAGTTGAAGTCCACAAGTCTTAAAGTGGTGAAGGTTGGCCACCCTGCTTTAAAGCAATGGCAGTTTTGCCCATTTGAATATATTTAACATAGAAATCAGCCCGACAATTATATTGACTCATTGAATAATTTCACTGGGAATAAAAATGCTCTTAAATAAACAAGTGGCACAGTGAGTACAATGCAGTACTGCAGGCTACTTCTGCTAGCTCCCATCTGCCAGCAGTTTAGCAGTTCAAGTCCCACCGGCTCAAGGTTGTCTCAACCTTCCATCCTCCCGAGGTCAGTAAAATGAGGACCCAGATTGTTGGAGGCAAAATAGTGACACTGTAAACTGCTTAGAGAGGGCTGTAAAAGCACTGTGAAGCGGTATATAAGTCTAAGTGCTATTGCTATTTTCCAATGACACTGAGAAACAACAGCAAAAGAGATCTAATTCATCTAACAATGTATGTCTGAAATCAGCCAACACATATATGCTTTATATAGATAGCCGAAATACATTCTTACCCCACGTTTCTTAATGGCTTTGTTTAAGAGGTTCACTACATCAGCTCCTTCAACACCACTTGCTTTGAAACGTTTTGTCCAGGTAATCAGAACACCCTAGAAAAATTAAACTATTACCACACTAGCCAAGACATTCGTGGCCCTTCTTTCCACCAACACATTGCTTATTTTTGGGAGGTGGGCTGGAATAGTTTAAAATAATGGAAAATCTGTTCAAATATCAGTAAATCTACTGCATGTCCACTTACTGATTATATTGTCAGATTCTTCCAGCTAAGAAAGTGTAAAAGTTCAGTAGAAAGCCCTAATTAACAGGGGTCTCCAAACTTGACAACTTTAAGACTTGTGGACTTCAACTCCCAGAATTCTGGGAGTTGAAGTCCACAAGCCTTAAAGTTGCCAAGTTTGGATGCCTCTGCCCCAATAAAACCTCAACCATCTTCTGATACATCCAGCAAGCACCTTTTTGAAAATCCTCAAATGCAAATAAGCAAACTTGGCCATATTTACATAATAAGTGGTTAGTGGCACCAAATCAGGCTGGATTCCTTAACAATCTCAAATTGTTAAGTTTTCCCATCTTTTTCCATTTTGCCATTCTTTATATTTGCTGTGTGTTTAAATTGTACAAATGTCAGGGAAATCCCTCTCTCATTTTCCTCATTCTTATACAATTTTATCCTTCATAATTCCCAATTACATACACACACATATCCTAGCATCATTTACACCAGTATTTCTCAACTTTGACAACTTGAAGTTGTGTGGACTCCAAGTCCCACTTGGCTAGCATTAAGAATGAACTTAATGATTTTGTAATTGGGTATCTATTTCTTTGGTGTTCACAACTTTTTTCAAATTGTAGATCATACCATTTCACTCCAAATTTGTTGATACAAAGCTATTACAACTTTAATGGCTTCTTCTGTAGTTCTAAATAGTTCAGAAGGTACTCATTGACTATCACATAATACATTAAGAACACCTTTCTAGGATTTCATACAACTGTTGATTCCAAAGGCTGCTTATAAATCATCCTCTATTATAAGCTTAATCCTACTAATCTAAGAAGAACCATGAAATCACTCTGTAAAGCTGTGATAGGCCGCAATAACAGTTATTGGCTTGATACAGAGTTCCCAAGCAATATTAGAAAGCTAAGTCTGTGAGTTCAAGTGAGTGCATCCAATTTATCAAAGCAGTTTCTACCCATGACATAGGTTTTGCAAACCTGTGATTAGACATACCTCATCTAGTTTAGATTGCCTACATGGGAATGAAAATGTGAACCCAACAGGTAATTTCTTGTCCTTAATTTCTTGTTTCTCCATAAAGTCTCCCAGGCATTCAGCAACATGATCAAAAAGCTGAGAAGGAAGGAAAATAAAGACAAAAGAATGTTAAGTAATCTAATAATATTAATTATACTAATAGAAATGTATTACAAGCCTTAATATAAAATGAGAAAAATAATTAAAGAACCATTACTTTCATGACAACAGTTGATTATTTCATTGTTGTTGGGAGACCACAACTCCAGATAATTTCTTTTTTATATATATTACATTTTAACAAAAAATAATCATCATCATGGAATTTAGAAAGCGGCACCTCCCTGAAAAAAGTAAACCAAATCTGATACAGTATTCCTGATCCACTTATAAATATTGTGGTATTGGTAAGTAATTGTGTGATCTTCTTTATTAAGGAGGCCAAGTCCAATGTTTCCTAGGCTATGGCATTTCAACAATGCATTTTTCTATTTACCCAGAATATCGATCCCATGCAAAAAATCTGATATTTTTCAAAAGTACACCCAGAAATTGCTGAATATTTAACATGCAAAATGGGTGTGTATTTAATGCAGCATAATGCAGGCAAATGATGTAGAGTTTGACTAGAACATGATTTCAAGGCTGTGTTTCTTCCCATGCTATGAAAAAGGCTGGACAGGACAACAAGCGCTACAATAGGGAAATAGGAACTAGTACAATAATATGGCTGAACTATCTTCTTCATTAAGCAAAACACAAATTACTTCATTTTTTACAAAGCTCTTTAACCACATTCTTCTCATTTATTTTCCCTCGACGTTCAGGAAAAAAAATCCTTTTTTGTACATTTTCAGCAAAGTCAAAGATGTAATACAGCCATCTCATCTTCCAGATGCACCAAGACTTCAAAATTCCAGAACAGCTGTGACCCTAATAGTGCCTGATAGGGAAGACCAATATAATGTTTCCTGTTCTGATTTTTTTTCAAACAACAACAACAACATGATGGTCTTCATGTGATTTGATCTGTTACGTCTCCCAAATTGTTATGTGTAATTTAAAGTCACAGGGAATCAAATGTCATTTGACAAATAGAATCAAACCTGAAAATAATGGCAAGTCATAATGCATTAATTTAAATGGTTTGACCTTCGTTCATGGGAAGAAAAAAAAAAGAATAGAATATCCAACCTGGGAACTGATATATCTTTGATGACAAACCTAATACATGTGTGTCAAAACTGACACATCACAATGTTCTGTATGGAATACTACAGTAGCATTTATGCCAATGTTCACCAACGCCTAATGACTACACTCAAAAGCATGCCCCATTCTCATGCAGCCTCAGTCTAGTCCCTTGAGAAATTGTGTGGCTTCCAGAGCCTCTGAAAATCATGTGAAAACATAGTGTGCTTTCACAAGTTTTCCGGAGACTGCAGGCGTCATGGAAGAGCATTCTCCAAAGCTGCTGCACCAAGAATGAAGACCTTTTGTGACCACAGCAGCCTCGGGTACCCCTAGAGGTCTATCAACAGAAAGAGAACACCACCTGAAGGTAAGCAGTACACAGCACTGGGCTTGTGGGGGAAACAGCACAGTTCCACAAGGCATTCACGCCTTGGAGAATGGCACAAGACACGTTGTGGTCTGCCGGCAGCCTGTGGAGACGAGAGCACAGCTGGACAGTGGGGAGGAACATGGGCCAGACCGATATAGAGATGGGGCCAGGGAGTTATGTGCTGACTCCAGAGACTCCAGAATCTGACAGCAGCGAGCCAGAGGAACCGGGGGGGGGGGGGGCTTTTCCCAGTGCACGCATGCGCAGAGCTGCCAGAAGTCAAGAGCAGTTAAGACGAAAGGGGCGACTCAGGAGTCAGGCTTGGAGGTCACTGCCTCTTCCATAAGGTATAAAGGAAGTGCAAAGGGACATGAAACTTTGCAGGAAGCAATTTTGTTTGTAAATGGTCGGTTCAAAACCTGAAGCTTTGTTGAATTTGTGCTCCGTTTGGCCTTGTATAACTAATTGGAAATTTAGTCGTTGGCAGCATTTCAAGGAAGATAAAGGTGGGTGCTTATCAGACTTATCCTGAAGGACTTTGGCAGACTTCCATAGGACTATTTACAAACTGTTTGAGACTCATTATGAGCTGTGAATGAATAAATTCACAGCCGTTGAAATAAAGAAAAAAGAGTTTGGGGACTAACGTGTGTTTGTTAGTGTCTCAATAAGCCTTGGTCAGAACAAGGCAGCCTTTTTGGTGACAGCAGTGGTACTATGGCTGAAATTGAGGACTTTTTTTACTTTGGGACCAACCTTGCCACTGCTTCATGGTAACCTAGTGTCAATGTCCAAGACAGTGCGCCATATACTATTGTATAGTAGGGGTAGGAAGATAGAGAATTGTCTCTCTTTTATTCAGGGGGGAAGCTGTGATGTCAAGTTAGGCACTTTTTAATATACCAAGTCCAAAGGGGTTTTCATCACTATTATAGTTCATCCGCTAACATAGCTTTTAAGTCACTGCTGAAAATTTAGCTGTTGCACTTGCTAACTAACAAATTGCGTGATGCCAACAACCCATGACGCAAATCAGAATCTTCGATCATAGTACCATCGAAGATGCTTTCTCATTCTGCCACGATCATGCTGGAAGCAACCAGTCAGCAACAAACACAGAAATAATCTTGGCATCAATCGTCTCAAACGAAGAATTTTTTGCATTAGCAATGCCAAAGAATGCCAGAGGCCAAATCATCGTTCTTTAGGCTCAACAGCCATGCTGCCAGGGCTCAGAACCCCAATCATGAATGTACATCTTGGGAAAAGGAAGAGAAATGGCAATGGATGGTGTCATGTAGGTTTCAAAAAAAAAGCAGCATCAGTGATAGCAGATACCAATTCTTTAACTTACATAAGAGATTTAAGTGGAGGAAGTAGGAGGAATTCTCCTGCCTTCCTTGGCTTCACCAACCATCCATATAATGTCCGCAGCTTGAGCTGCTGGCTGCAAAATGTATACATAGGGATCAAGACAGAAAAGTCCTTTGGTAAAAAAAATAAAAATAAACAGAGAAGATCTACCATATGGCAATCAGGCAAAGGTGAATTAGATATGAAAATAAAGTTTACTCCTTGCTGACCTCTTTCCCTAAAACAGACTGCTTTGGCCCTCTTGTAGAAACTCCCTTGTAACACCCACTGACTGGGTTCACACAGCATGCTTAAACACAAAAGTTGGTTAGTGCAAACACACCCATTTGCCTATGGTTGTTCTATTACTTATACCATCTGAACCAAAGCAATATGTTCAGGCGCCTCTAACCTTGTTTATATTTTGCTTATTATTATTTTTAATCAAATCAGATCAAATATATTTATTACAATATTTGAGCAGCCAATACTTTTAATAAATACGTTAGATCTCTCTTATTCCTTTCAAGTAATGTTATAAGTTGGAATACAGATAGTTTTCAACTTATGACCACAATTGGTCAGTTACAATATACATTTTTGGTTGTAAGTCATTATGGTTATAAGTTGACTGAATCCAGCAGTCATTAAGTGAGTCCATGGTCTTTAAGCAACTCAGCTTTCCTAACTGCGAACCCGTTCTTACAAACAGATCTTTTTGACAGAAACCACCAAACAACCAGCACAAATTGCAATGATGTGACTGCAGAATTCTGCAACCAGTATAGGTATTTCTACTCTGTTGCCCCCAAAATTCACATGGATGTATCCATGAAGTTATTGGAATCAAGTTCAACTTTAGAAAATATTTAATTTTTTATTCTCAAGTAAGCATCAAAGGATTGCTACCTGTAGCACTGTAGTGAAACATTTTCTTCTAAACAGTCACATCTTTAAAATGTTTAATCATACTCACCCATCCCAGGATATAGTAAAGAAAAATAAAGATGGATATAAAAACATATGAAGAAACAGAATAAAAAATATATATTTTAACTCACAGCTATGCCAATATATCCACACTCATCATAGAGACATGTCTGTCTGCTAGTTCAGCTAGCTTTCACTGCATATTTGATGTACATTCCACTTTTCTATGCTAAACAGCCATATTTGTAATAGGAAATTACTATAAAAGGACATTTTTTGTAATAAAATCTGGAGTTCAGCACATTTTTTTCAACAAGAAAATGATGAGAGGAAATTTATCCCAAAATATATTTTTTAAGTTGTCAAGAAACATGTTTTAGGATTTTTAATATTCCATTTCCTTGAATATTAAAATAACAAATTAATTTTGTTTTTCCTTTCAAAATTAAGTATCAGAAAATCCAAGAGATGAACTCAACATAACAAGCAACATGGGAAGTATTCAGAATGTTAATTATATACTTAAAGAAGAATCTACCCGTGTTCCACTGCCGTGCATAATATCTTCAGGCGTTTCATAAATCTCCGTTTCCATTTGCACCATCTGCTTTTTCTCACGCGAGACTTTCACTCTCAAAATTCGGAAGAAAGACCCACCAAGATCCAGAGCAATGAAATCTCCTTTCTCTGTTGGGAAGAAACAGGTGTCACTTTAGCCATTAGAAGTAGGCATTTAAATTTTCCCACCCCTTAAAGTAAAATACCATTAGTGGGCTACACAAGCAGATCTACTTATCTTTTCTAACCTAGGAAATTATCATTTTTTGATCTTGATATATCAACTGAGAACATTTCCCTCAAGCCTATCTAATAGGACCGAAATAGGCAATCTTGAATCATTTTGAAGTTAAGATTACCAATTAACATAATTATTGTAACAAGATAGACAAATACAAAAGATTATACACTCAATGTATTTCAGCTTCCCCCAGAAATTTTCAGGCTCTTCACCAGCTCACAAGAAGCACAGATATGATGGGAATACAATTTCCAGCTAATATGTCAATCCAGCTGGGAAAGACTTGTAATTCTTTTTTAAGTATAATCCCCTTTTAAGTACAAACTCCTTTAACTATTTTCTTTTGATAAGCCAGCATCTTCAACCACCTGGAAATTTTAACTAAGATTATATTCTCAGAGGTCTCCAATGCATATGAAATAAAGTGTTCCATTATATTAAGCATGTTTTAATATTAAAGACTAGTTTCCCAGTTTTAAAATAACCTGCTATCATTTTACAACAACAAAATAAATGGATAGTTAATTGTTTAATCTTATAACCATATAAAAAAATAAAATAAAGTATCTAATTCCAAGATAAAAGAGATAGAAGAAAATATAGTAATAAAAAAACATATTCAACTGTTATTCCAAAGACTGCATAATTTAATCAGAATCAATTTTGCTGGTGGACAACATTTTATGAAGTTACCAAATGAGGAACCACATTTAATATTTCCAGGAATAGCACTATATCAGGATTTAACAATACTTTTATTAAGGATTACAATTACAACAATACTAATTAAAAAAATAGAAAGGAAAGAGAAAAAAATAATACAGGAAGAGGAGGAGGAGGAAGAGGAAAAAGAGGAGGAGGAGGAGGAGGAGTCTCATTATTGGGCCATGTGAGCTGTTGGCTAGCACACACGCATGCATGCAGCTCAAATTGCGCACGCCGTTCAGAGCGCCCATGCACATGCGTGCCAGCCCATCACTTGCACCTGGCCAGTTTCCTTCCCCTTGCCAGGCCACCATGCCGTAAAGGTTGGGGGCCGCTGGTCTGAAGAAATTATTTCCCCCTTCATAATAAATTTAAACAATTTTAGAAACTTTTCACTTTCTCTTAAAATACAATAAATAAACTCTTTTCCCTCTCTCTTGTCTATAAACAAATCTTTAAAGCATCATCATCCAGTCCTTGGTCAGCCAAAATCCATTAAGTGTTACCAGGGATAACAATGTATCTACTTTTAACCCTAATTAAATAAACCAAGTTTATATTCCTTCCTTTTACTTTTAACAATTTTGATCATTAATCCATTCAAATACTGTCCTAGACCTTGATTCCTTTTCACTTTTGGGCCCTTTTCACAAAACCTTTCAAAACCTGAACAAAACATCTTTGTAAATCAAAATATGAAAACTATCCAAATCACTTTCTAGGTCTGTTATCTGTATATTCCTTTCAATTATTAAAACATCAACCAGTTTTATTTATAAATCCAATGTAGGAAAGAGCATTAAGTATCAATTTAAGTTTGTTTAGTGAGTTTTGAAGTTACAATGACATGAAAAGTGACTTACAATCGTTTTTCACATTTACGACTGTTGCAGCATTCCCCCAAGGTCATGTGATCAAAATTCAGATGCTTGGCAGTTGACTCATATTTATGATGACTGTAGTGTCCCAAGGTCCTGTGATCATCTTTTGCAACCTTCTGACAAGCAAAGTCAATGGGGAAGCCAGATTCACTCAACAACCGTGTCACTAACTTTGCAACTGCAATTGTAACAATTTGCTTAAAAGCCGTGGCAAGTAAGGTCGTAAAATGAGGGAAAATTAACTTAACAAATGTCTCACTTAGCAACAGAAAAATTAACTTAACAAATGTCTCACTTAGCAACAGAAATATTGGGCTAAATTGTGACTGTAAGTTGAGGACTACCTGTAAAACTATTGAAACTGTTTCCCCACAAAAAAGGATGTCAATACTTGCTACATCTTGCCCAAAGATTCAAAAATTCTTCATCCCAACCTACTAAGTGACTGAAATTAAACAAATTGCCAAAAATAGACTGAAAGATTCCAAGTAATTCCTTCCTCCCAAAAGAAACCATGATTTATGCAGGGAGAATGTCAGTCTGCCAAAAAACTGTTTTATATTGCTTTGGAATAGTCAAGATTAGGGAGTTGAAATATAGACTCAAAACATGAGCCAGCATGATACAGCTTGAACTGGACCAGCTAATATTCCCTGCCCTGCAGTCTTGAAAAATGTGGTAGGAATTCTGGGTTTGGATTCCCTTGTAGGCAGCATTGATGAGTAGCAGAAGAAGAGTTGCTGATCCAGTTCTACAGAGGAATTATTGAGTCTATATCTGCACCTCTATAACTGTCTGGTTTGGTTCTGCAACCCAACAAGACAGACTTAAAAAAAAACAATTGCTATCGTCCTGCCTTCCATTCCATATACTGCAGGAGTCAAAGAGGGCTGTGAAAATATTTACATACCCCTTACATCTTGGACATAAACTGTTTCAACTCCTTCCCTCAAAACGACCCTATAGGGGACTGCACACCAGAACAACTAGACACAAGAGCATTTTTTTTCCAAACACCATCACTCTACTAAACAAACAATTCCCTCAACACTGTCCCACTATTTACTAGGTCTGCACTACTATCACTATTAAACTGCTCATCACACCTTATCACCCATCCGCTCCCACTTGTGACTGTATGACTGTAACTTTTGTCACTTGTATCCTTACGATTTATATTGACTGTTTCCTAGTATGATTGGATTGCTTATTGTACCCTATGACTATCATTAAGTATTGTACCTTATGATTCTTGACGAATGTATCTTTTCTTTTTATGTACACTGAGAGCATATGCACCAAGACAAATTCCTTGTGTGCCTAATCACACTTGGCCAATAAAGAATTCATTCATTAATTCATTCATTCATTCAAATGAAAGCCGTTGGTCTCTATCACTCTTGAGGTCCTCTTCCTCTTTTCTAATCAAATTAGAATTGAAGAAACTTCTCACACTTCTAAGAGGACATCATCCTGCTTCCCAGCAAGGAGGGGCTGTGCCTTATCTAAATCTTCCTGCCTAATTCTAGAAAAGACCCCCTATATTAGGGCCAAAATGCACAGAATGCCACAACTTTCTATTAGCAATCTCCAAAACATCGGAACCACCCACATAACAGGTTATGGTTGCGTATATCCTTCAAAAGAGGTGTTCCGAAAAGACAGTAGTGAGATTTGTTCATCATTAAGGCAATCGCACAAGTGCTTCAAATGGATATGATCACCTCCAGAGACAGCAGGGAATAGCTTCAAAAGCAACCGGGTGAACTTGGCAAAAGATGAGTCTGCTTTAATGATTCAAGAATAGGTGTTTCATATGTACTCCCCTGCATTTAAATTTCCCTTTTCGAAGAATGTAGACATTCTCACAGATGTACCCAACCTGAGATCAGAAAGTTATAAACAACTCCCAAATTTTTATTCTGTGACCTTCAGAAGCCCTTCTGACATTGTAGTTCCTGCTACTTTCAACAGGAAACACAAAACTGTACAGCCTGACCTGGAAAAATCTTTTATCTTGCCCTACCCAGTTTTCAAACAAGTCCTATCTTACCCTCATTTCAAAGCAAGCCTGACTTACAAACAAAATTTGCACACATTCGCTTAAACAAGACACTTCAAGATACACTCGAACAGGCAGCTAAACATGATCAATGTTCATCTCAGATTTTTTTTTCTATCTCCTAGTGTGCATTGCAAACCCAATTTATTTACAGGTCAATCTATTATGCAAATCCAGAAAGTGGGGTTATTCAGTAGAGTAGTTAATTGTGCTGTTTAACCCCCAGCCATAGTGAAGGAGCAATGCAAGCTGTGCAAAATCTGAAAGCCAACAAGGAATTCATGTAACGCCACAATGCTGCCATCTGTTTGGGAGGTCTGACGCCAAGCACTCTCTCAAACTCAACAAGGAGTGCAAAGCACACCTTCCCAAGCAATAACACAATGTTTGTCGGATCAGCATCACTTCCAAGCTGAACATTCACAGGGAGAATGAGTGATGTCACAGGGAGAATGTCATGTGAGTCATGACATCGTCATACAAATTGCAACTGATGAAAATTGTATGACCCGCCCTCATTTCTGTGATGCCAACATAACATATGTGACATCACCACAATTCTTCCAGGTGCCAATGCATCGTATTGCACTTCTGGAGATCAAACGACGTGAAATGACACTGCCAGGGACAAGTACTTCACATTATGCCAAGTGCACAAATAGACTTTATCACTGTAGTCCATTGATTGCTTAAAAACAAGCCATTATCACAAAAAAAAAGCCCTCAAAGATAAATAGTGGAACAGATGGTGCCTTTTTTTCAGCAAATGTAAACAAGTCCCAGTACAATTTAAACAAACGGGGATTCTGTAATAGCTAGTAAATTAACCTGCGGCCTGAAAATGGAAATCAGATGCCCAGTTAGCAAAACACTTGAAAGGACATTCCAATGTAAAGGCAAATCATGATCAGGTGTTAAGGAATTAATTTGTATTATCTGCCTATAACCCGAAATTTGTTTTTCTCCTCTTCCCACCTGCTCTTGTCTTGTGATCTTAAAATGCAAGCAAATTGTAATTTGAACTATCCATTGTGCACTGTATGCACAATGATTTAATAGAAAGTGTGGTCTGCCAATATCTCAGAAGTGAGAGTTTACATCATGTGATAAGTAAGAAGAGAGGAAGGATGCTAAAACCGCAGATTGTCTATGCACATGATATCAATTAATGGCTGATATACTCAAACATCTCATAAAAGCCGTATAAGATGTGTGATCATCCTGCCATCTTGCAAATTATATTATTCATGACATCGTGGCAAATGTGACATTCTTTGCACCTGTGAATGAATACGCTATAATGTTTCAACCTTACTATCAAATTCTGTATTTATTATTAATGTAACTATTATTCATGTTAGCTTCCTCCAATCTGATTCTGCAGCTATTGTCAATACGTGCACATTACTAAGCACCTGAATTCTGATCATATGTCCCTGAGGACGCTGCAAGGGTCGTAAGTGTGAGGACCAGTCACAAATCATTTTTTTTGGTGACTCTAACTTCAAATGAATAGTCGTAACTTATACAAATAGTTGTAACTTATGTTTTGGTAAATAACATGTTCTATTAGACTGGAAACTTTTTTATCATGCTACTAGTATTACTTTTTTTCTTAGTTTTATTTGCATTAGGACCACTATGGCCGCAAGTCAGATCTCACTATATGGGAAGGAACAATATTGGATTTGTTTTAAGAAGCCATCTTCATGAAGAATTTTAGCAGCCACATCCCAAGAGTGATAACCCTTACCTGAGCCATCAGGAATAGATCTTACAAAGGTAGGCAGCATCTTTACACTGGCCGTTGGGTTAAAATCCCTAGAGAGGCCATTCTTCATTTCAGTCCTGAAGCGACCCATAACATCCAGCAAAGTTTCATCTGACAGCCGCATGGCATATAAATATTTATCAATCTATATAGGAGGCAGAGAAAAACACAGAAGATTCAAACCTTGTGTGATTTTGTTTCTGAACTTAAATCTTTTTAAAATGCTGAAGTATGGCATGCTGTAGACGAAATGCTTAGAGCAGGTAATATTCATTGCAAATCTCCAATTCCATCAATTAAAACACTTATGCCCCACCCCAGGAAAATAAACACAATATACAAATAAGACCCCCTTGCTTTTCAGGAAATTCCTGAGCTGAAAAGCAGCAGCTCAAAATTATTCTCTTTGTAATGTAGATTTATCCTAATGATAGAGGAATGACAAAACAGTGAGGTTCTCAGCTAAATGTAAACAAAAGAAGGCATCTCTGTATTGGTTGGTTCTAAGAAGTTCAGATTTCACTATCAAGACCACCTTAAACTGAGTCCAGAAAAAAATAAATAGGCAAAACATACACATGGCCATCAGTGTAACCCTCAATCAGAAAACAAAATTGAAAACGATCTAGCTGAAATTTCTTTACAGACATTTCACAGAGTAAAGAAGACCAGGGGCTGATATCAGTGTCGAAAGCAAAATCCAATCCAGTTACAAGCCTGGAGAAAAACGCTGGAAATAAAATGGATGCTGGCTGCAAGGAAAGGTGGTCTCTGTTTCTTTGGTTTCCAGAAACTTCAATGACAGCAGTGTGTTTCTGGGGTGGCTGACCAAATGGCTGAGCAAGTGGATGGATCTTTATAGGGTTCTGAGGTTTTGTGATTGAGATGCTCCAGGGGGTTGTGCAATGTAGTGAGCCTTGTGTCTTTTGTTATTCTAATGGTGTGGGTAAATCCTATTATGTCCTAAAGTTCATATCTTGTCCTTAGAATTTGGGCTCATTCTTAATCCTATCAGCTCCAGCCTGGGGGAGCTGTGGCTAAAAGTGGTTTGTTTGTGGCCTGGATTTCTCTAAATGGATACTGAATGGAATACTCCAGTTTTGTCAATAAATACAAAAGTATCTCATTCATAAAACATACTGCCTGGAGTGTTTTCCTAGTAGTGGAGAGAAGTGAAGGATTTCATCCTAGGAAATCTTTCTTTTTTTTTCTTTTGGGGTGGGGAGGGCTGACTTCCTACACATGACCACACTCAATTTTATAATCCTTTTACAATGGTCATGAAACAAATCATCACAGTTGTAAAGTGAAGCACATGGTTGTTAAGCAAATCCATTCTTCCAAACGGACATTTTTTTTTTTTTGCTGAAAACCAATAACAAAAATGCAAATCACAATCATTGTGATTGTGGGATGCAGCAATCCATTATAAATGTGGACGGCTTGTCAAGCACCTGAAATGAGATCATAGGGAGGGAGCAGTTGTAACTCCAAGAACAGGTGTTTCCTGGGCAATGGACAAGTGTGAAAATTATCATCTCCTACACTCACGCATAGAACTATCCTGATTCATGGAGAGATTTGGAATTATAAATTACATGATGAGAAGCAGTTCTCCCTAAATGATTTATACTTAATTCCTCTCAAGCATTTTGGACTTCAACTCAAATCAATCTCAAGTAGCAAAAGAGATGACAAGTTGGGCAGAATACAGTATGACCCAAAATATCTGGAGGGAACCAAACAGCTCATCTTTCACAGATATTATTAAGCAGGTAGAAATAATAAAAGGTAGCATTCTGTGTAATCCAACAGCTAGAAATGAAGAAAGCCCTATTAATGCTATTTGCAGCAGTTCTCTGAAACATAGTAATTCTAGATTCCATTTTAATCTTGACAAAGCATATTAATGATCAAGTTTTCCTTAATGTTTTTAATCTCTCTAAAGGCTTCAGCCGACATTTATCAGCATTTTAAAAAACTTTTTTCTATGCATGATCATGATCCAGAGGAACAAAATTGGTCCTGATGTTGCATCTTCCAAAGAACTTTAAATTGCTCTCCTTAACTGTTTGGGTAGACATAGATAAAACCTACTAAATCTAACCAGTATTTCAAACAATAAAAATCCACATCTGGATGAAAAAAGGTTCATATGAAAGAACGTTAATCCCCTACCAACTTTCTACAAGCAATATCTTGTTTTAGACATTTGATGCCTCGTGTTCAGTCCAACATTCCCATTCAACAATGTGCTTTTAAAATGTTTGTATTTAAGCATTTACTTTGTAGTACTTTCTCCCATGTATTCCAAATGCTTAAGTAGTCTGCCATCAGACTACCAAATCAAATACAGACCCACTTAAACAGATTCTCTCTTCTAGTGCTTTCAGGCCCATGACACACAGAGCAAACAGCAAAATCAATAAAAGGAGAACTAAAATAAAGAGTTATGTAACTCCTTTGAAAATGTAAATAGACTGAAAAAGGAAACCTGGTGGAGAAGAAATTGAGAACACTCTCACAGAGAAGCCCCTACTTTCAATATCGTAAAGAAATCTCTAAACATACTCCAGCAAGAGGATAAGATAGTTCTTGAGAAACTGAAGCTGTAATTTGCAATAATTAATATTATTTAAAAATGGACCAGGAGTTTAAGTATCTATCCTAAATCTGGGCCATACTCCAATGATTTGGAGGGAGCAATTGGAAAGCAAAGTCAGAAATACTTTTCCATGCTTGCTCAACTAATGTAGTTTGCTTCCCTATAATCCTATTTATATTAAGCTAATACAAATTCCCTTGGAGGCTGGAGAATTCTGGAAGCTGAAGTCCACCATCTGAAGGTGGCTACAGCTGAGAAACACTGGGCTAAGTAGTTGCTTTGAAGGCATTAGCAAAATGATTTTCATTACAATGCATGCAGAGATCAAGATTCAAAGGCCCACTAGCAGAACTGTACTTTAGCAGAATTACCTGCCTTCAGAGAAAAGATTGTGCTATCACAGCACTGTACCCCAAATGCAGTACCTGGCATCCCTCCCAGAAAGGACTAGAGGCCATCTGCTGGCATGAAAGACAGGGAAGGTTTAAGCTAACTAGACTCATGCCTTTAATAGTGATGTCATTCACAACAGATTAAATAAATAGATCTGAAATAAATCTGTCTTGGACTGTGTTTTGGAAGAGAGCGCAAGGGATGGCACACAGACCCTTAGCTATTTCATGTTAAATTCAAGAGGTCCTACCAGGTTTCTGAGTTCACAAGAGAAGAATTTTGTTCCCTGTTCACCACAAATATACTGTATAAAAAAAGGGAAATCTCTGTTGTAATTTATCTGGGACACAATTGAAAGCATTATGCAATTTTTTGCACAACCAGCCCAGTTTTAATCTTGAGGAATGCAAAATTATAGAAGCATCCATGGAAGCATATTTTACATGGCAGCAAGCTTGGCATTTTGCAATTATCTGCATTAACTACATCTTAGAGTAGACCAAATACACATTTTTCTTCTTTTTCTCCTTTCCAGGATTTCTATATCCTTAAGAAAGACTTCTTAGAGACTGAAAGTTTACATACTGTTAAATTAACAGTTTGTTAACTTAACAAAAAAACTGCCTTCCTGTGAATTATTTTTTTGCATGGTCCACATATCTGTTTTTGCTTTTTATTCCTTACATTAAACTTTAAAACCAAATTACATAGGATGTTGGCTGATTGTAGCTTGCCTATTATTATATTACATCAATAAAGATTAAAATCCTGGAATCCAAGTGTGTAACCACTGATTTGTGTTGCAACAGTGGAATCAAATCAAAACGTAACTGTGCAATTAACTGTCTTTGCTGCAGGGAAAATAATTCATGTATTTCCAATATACTACACACTAAGTGTTTGGAATGCCAGTTTTTAGAATTTATTTTAGGAATCTATTTGGCTCACTACCTCATGCCCAAAACATCACCTTGCCAAATGTTTTATATTTGGTCTGAAACTGTAGTACTCTTCTACCAAAGAAAGTGCAATTTTTTTCCTTCTGTTCACAGTGAACACCAAGCATCAATTGTCAAATGATTCTCTTTTAATCCAATTAAGAAGCAAAACTAATAAGTAAATGAGTGCTTGCTTTAAATGAAGACACCTTTCTAACTAAATCATGACAACTGAGAAGGTATCCAAACTAGAAAAAAACAACCCTTGACTTTTCTTTTTAATGAAATGGCATCTCTGTAACATTTCAGCACTGCCGCTGAGATGATAGGGTTGGACATATTGCACCAGCTCAAGCAGGACAGAAAAAAAATCTTAGATGTCCTAGGAATTGGAATTTGAGAACCAGAAAGAGTTTTGTTTGATGTTCAGTGTGAGAATTTAGAATTTCAGAAATTTAAATTGTCCAGAGCAAATTCTGAAAATTGATGAGAAACTTCAAACTTAAGAAATCTGAGAAAGCAAGAAAAGCAAAAATAAGAGAAAACAATATCCAGGTTTGCAATATTGTCAACTATTTCTAATATTTGATGCAAACAATTACTTAAGATGGGAGAAAATTCCAAAGCTATAAACTAGATTGGAAAGTAATGTTCTTTAAAAAACAAGCCTATGGTAAACTTTCTTCCATATTGTTGCCAAGAAAACAAGGGTATGTCCATGATGTGACTAGGAATTGAAGTCAACTCCCGAGAGTTTACATGTGCTACATAAATAGTCAACAGGATCATTTTTCAGCTTTCCTGAAAAATACATTTAGTCATTTGGAATTTAAGTAACTTGTTGCACAGCTAACTAAAATTAGAGAAGGCTGTATGACTTAATTGTCTTTATTTAGCCTTAGGAGCCTTAATGGCCTTACCTGTACAGGTGAAAGCACCAGATAAGGCAGTGACTTGGCTATTTGTAGTTCACACAAAAAGTTCTCGAAGTCTGTTGTGTATCAGCTTACATACCGTGTTCTACCATCCCTGAATGCAGGAAGAAATGGAACACTAACTTGCAGGATTTTTGTTGTGCACTGATGCATGAATTTCTAAATATAATCGGTTTGAAGAAATACTATTTGCTTTGCAAAGGCACATATTTTTGCTCCAGCTTGGAAGAGTTTATTAGCACAAGTAAAATTCAAATAATTGTCTAGATGCAGC